CATCGTCATCCATCTCCTAAACCTAAGTTTTCACGTAGCAATGTAGCATCAACTTTGGACATTTCGTTATGTATTTTTATTTTAGATAAAACTAAATGGGTTTATACCGTACAATACATATATATTGAAGCGCAAATTAACCTAACCAAAACAAAATCTAGTTTACAAACAAAAGCACCTATATATGTATATTATATACGTATATCACATAATAGAGCAAGCATGGGGGTTTTCATCGCTGAAGATAGAGCTGGCTGTTCATCAACTAGAGTAGAATAAGGCGGTGGCTGATAGTAACCATGATCATGTCCATCATACCCATGCTTGTAGTAGTTGTAGGACGACGAACGTCCAGTTGCATGGTAAGTGATCACGGGTTGTCTTTCATAATATTCGTAGTAAAACTGGTTCTCAGGTTTGTACGGGTACGGCCACAGCTCAGCTCTCCTTCCAGTTTTTCTCACTTTTTTCAACATCTTCTTCTGGTCTGCCGCAGCCCAACCCATGACCGTTACCTTTTGCATGCCCATATCTACGTCTACACTATCCACTCCTGAAACATATTAAAAACATCCAAATTAAGTCATCAAAATCTACCAAACCATAATCATTATGGACGTGAAGATGATCGAGAAAGAAACACCGATATACCCTTGAGTTTTCCAAGCTCCTTCTTTATCTTGGTGGCGCAGCCATCGCAATCCATACGTACTCTCATCTCTGTAATCTGCAGACAAAGAAGAGCAAATTATACAGTCTTGTTAAGTAATTACGCAATTGTTTGCTGCTAATATGATTTTTTGTTGATAATATGTTATATGAAAACGAAATAAACTGAACTGACCGTCATGTTTAGTATCTATAAGCTTCATGAGTGCGATGAGGACGTACTTATATATAGGGAAGGTCAACACTCAACAGGGATAAGAGATAATATATTAATAGAAAAAATGACAATTAAATGAATATATTATTCCCACTAGGAGCATTTTTATTCTCTCTTTTTCTGCAAGTTGCTTCTTGGGGACAGGCTTTGTATACATAAAGATTCTAGGGAAAAAGCCTCGCAGCTGCTTCGAAATTAAGGAGGCAATCATTTTCCAAACCAAAACGCGTAATTTAACATTATATTTAATAATAGTTATATAGCCTTATATAGCCGACCGACTTTATAAACATTAGTCAACACAGTATCTGGAAAATTCTCAGTTGTAACCTTGCCTCGTGATTTTAAATATCACAAGTAGACATTATACCCAGTTAAGAAATGATTGATTTGTTGGCAAATACAGTAACTCAAACTGTAATACTTTCGTGACTCTCCTGACTTACGCTAATTGTTGCTTAATAATATTTGCATGGAAGTTTTGTTAAATTAACCATTGTTATACGTTAAAAATTAAATGGTTAGACATTAACTATTGTTGCTTAATAATCTTAAGATTATTCGAAATGGCTGCTGGTCTTAGTCTCAATTTGAAGAAATCAAGGCTTGTCGGAATTAATGTAGCGCCGGATATATCAGTAGAATGGGCTTCTCTCATCCATGTTCGCATTATAGATTACCTATGTCCTACCTTGGTCTTCCGTAGGTAATCGAAGGAATTCGAAGGATTTATGGAATCCTATAATTGATAAAGTTCAATCTCGGTTAGCAGGTTGGAAAGGTAAGTTACTTTCGTTTGGGGGGAGGATTACACTTATCCGCTCGGTATTAGTCAGCCTTCCGGTTTACTATCTATCTCTGTTAAAATGTCCTCGTCGGTGGAAGTGAAGTTGAGATCTTTGATTTCAAGTTTCTTATGGGGTTCGCAGGGCGGAAGACCAATTCATTGGGTGAGTTGGGAGCAAGTTTGTAACCTAAGTGCTTAGGGGGCTTGTCTTGGTCAATCTAAGCTTGAAAAATCGATCCCTTCTAAACAATGAGTATGGAGGTACAGGAAAGAACCAAATAATTTGTGAAGAAGGGTTGTGAGTGCTAAAAATGATTATCAACAGAATGCAGTGCTTCCTCTGTAGATCTCGGCAAGGAAGATGTCTTGGGTGTGAAGGAGAATGTTAGATCGGAGGGCGACCTTAACACTCCGTCTGTAAGCAGTTCGGATTACAAGTGGGGGACGGATCAGGGTAGACTTCTGGAATGATTACTGGTAATCCGAATTATTTTATGAATCTGGTTTACCATGTATTCAGCAAATCACATCCTTGATTTTTAGAATAAATTTTAAATAACCGTTCACTGCTTATTTATATGTAGAAAATATATGAAAATTTACCTTAATAACTGAAAATGTGGAGTAATTCACATGACAACGACAATGTCTGTGATTCACCAAATGTCAGCGCCCGCTATATTAGTACTAGGAATTTCCAAGTAGGTGTTGCCTATTTATTTGGAGTAGGTAAGGTCAATATCATCTCCCCCACGTAGTCGGCATGGTTCTAAAAGAATAGGTAACTGATAACTTTTGGGGTTGTTAAAAGAAAAGTGATAAGTAATCATTTTTAACTTTTGATCAAAATTAACATATTTAAATATGCTGATTTTTAACATAACTTATTGTTAATTTAAATTTAATTAATTTGACTTATTGATATTTTATAAATCAATTTAAACTTTTAGCTTTTCATCAAATTAATATTTAAATGTCTTTGACTCAATACATTTATCTTGGATTAAGATTGAGTCTATTGTTTTTCTGTTGTTTTAATATATTAACTATCATCATATATATGAGTTGTATAAATTATTTTTAATAGATCTTTATTATTTTAATCATTTTAACTCTTATATTTTTATTATATATATTTTTATCTTTGATCCTTTATTTTTTTTATTTTATCAAAGTAACCTAAATGTAACAAAACAGTAATAGTATTTTTAAATTGATGTAAATTATTTTATTATTTTACCATATTATAAAAAAATCAGTTAATTTATCTTTTATAAAATATTGATATCATCATCTTCTTCTTCTTCTTTACAAATTTTAATATTCATTTTATATTTTGATGACATGAAAAAAAAGTCATTATACATATTTTTTTTACTTATATAGTATATATCAAACTTTAACCAATGAAGTTATGGTACAGTTAGTGAAAGTTGGATATAGGGTTAGTTTGAAATAAATTAATTGTTAAGTTAATTACAAGGTTGTTGCAATAATTTCTTTTAAATCTATTGTCAATTAATGATAAAATTTAGTTTAAAAAATTCACAGTTATTATCTAAATTAAAACTAAATTTTTCAATATAAAAAATTCAAAGACAATAACTAAAATAAAATATACGGACTAAATCCATAATCTATATATGTATAGTTTCAGTACAAGTACTAATTATAAAATTTAACATTTTTCATCAAATTGTAGCCCTGTTTCCGGGAATTTGCAATGTTCATGAATCTGATATTTGGAGCCTAACGATACTGCTATGTATATTAATAAACAAATTAGTTATGACGCATAAGATATCAATAAAAGGCATCACTCACGAAAATGACATGTAAACTTTAGTCATATTTAGATAAGTATATTTTGTGATGAGTTTTAGGTGGTGTATGCTGACAAATTGTGATGAGTTTCATATATGCAATTGGTTACTGATATTTGGCTTAGAAAAAAATGGTGTATACATCTTGAAGTTGTACCAGACATACATGTGAAGCTCACCACTCAACGTAGTATCCGTTGAAAGACTTTCAACTTTTTAATGATGGCTGCTCGAACACTTCTATAAATGATGTGACTGAACCAAGAACCTCTAGGAATAACAACCATCGTTTTAACTACTAAGGTAGTTTGGTTGGTTATAAGTTGTTGGACGGTTTAAGCAGCGGTGGCTATAGAAGGAATAACACCAATTAATAAAGGGAAGCTGATTTCATTGTCAGAGCAGACTGTGATATCAATGGTGAAGACAAAGGATGTGAAGGTGGACGCCGCTTTTCAGCAATTAAGTGTTTGCATTTATGATCTGTTTACTATTAAAGCTCCACTTGATTATTTTGGTTATAAAACAACTGTTTGTCTGTCATCACCCTGGATGTTACTGTAAGATATAGGAGAGATGAGCTCTAAGTTGTTAAAACCCATGCCATATCAAATAATGAACACTAAGAGTATAAGATTTTGATATTGTGGCCTTTAACAACCTTGATTTAGCATCACAACATAAATAGTCTAATGATTAATCAAATCCCCTTAAACAGGTCGGGAACTAGACAGCAGAGTTGATCAAGAAACAGTTTATGTGGAGATTTTCGTTTCTGCATCATCTTTCAGAGTATGTTTCTTTCGCTGTGCTCTTCTTTGGGGACTAAACTAGTTTATTTCTTTATTTTATCAATTTTTTTTTTTTGCGATTTTTGCATTTCAAATCCTTGAATTGACCCTTTGTTGGAAGAACAGGAAGTATTAACCGACTCCATAGACAGAATTATCCAAATTAAAACTTCATAGCAATAAAATCTCAGTGCTTAACATATAGCATAGACCAAAACAGAGACATTCTGTTTTGGAAACCGCTGCTGACTGCTGAGGGATTTCTAGACCTGCAAACAAAAACTCCCCTGATCTTGCAGTTGTTTTAGTAGAAGTGTTAAACTTATTATGAGGGAATGAAAAATGAGATGGTCTGCAACAATGGCTTACTTTTCTGATACCATTAATGAATCTATATGTCTAATGAACTCTTTCCCCATTAGGAAAGCAACTGTGACCGTTTCTCATTCAGAATGCTGGTAATATATGTACGAGTATAAATTGAAGGAAAGTAAAGGTTTTTCGTTCTGTTTTCAATTTTCAATCTGCTTGTAATAGGCACAGAACACATTTATTAGAGCTATACATAATTACATATGCAACGCTGTTTAATATAATTTAGTATGAATAAGCTGATAAGCACATAAACATTCCCCCCTAAGGGTGGGTAATTAGTCCTCTGAAATACTGAAAGAGGACTATATCTACTGAATAGACAGTATCGTATTTTATCTTCAAGCAGTTGGATAAGAGGCTTCCATTGCAATACCGCAGAGACCTTCTTTGGCATCAATACCCCTTTCCATTCTGATGTATCCATCCTCACCCCAGCTAGTGCCCCATGAATTCTTCACCAGCCAATATTTGGTCCCATCATCATCTTGTCCATAGCCAACTGCTGTAACCCCATGGTCTAGGTAGGTGGTGCATTCGCCGGTGAAGACACCACTTTTGTAGTGTTGGAAGTCAGCCCCACCGGCATCAATGGCAACTGAAACTGGCTGATTGGCCACGGCTTTTAATAGTGCTGACTCACTGTTTGAAGGTACATCCTCGTAACCGGTGATCTTGGCTGCATGGTTGGCTGATTCTTTCTTGTTGCAGCTTCCATCAACTCCTTCGTAGGGATAATTGGTTTCGGTGGTAAGTCCTTTGTTTGAAATGATAAATTCAAATGCATCGTCCATGAGACCACCGTTGCAACCTTGGTCTTCGCCGTTGACATCACAATCAACCAACTCCTGCTCTGATAGTGAGATCAACTCCCGCTAATGATTTCTTTATGAGTTCCCGTTCTATTTTCATAATAGTTTTAAAGATCACCAAACTACATAAATGAGTTGAGTTGGATCATAATTTTTGTAGTCTGGAAATACTACGTAACACCGTTATGTAGAATTCTCTCTTCAAAAAAAATCAGTACTTCAATTTAATTCCTATTTGGCTCTAAATTAAATTAAATATTACATTTTAGTCCCTCTAAAGAATTTATAATTTAAAACATTTTTAATACAGATAATTTTAACTTTCGTGTCTCCAAATTTTTAGTTTATATCAGCCCCAAGCAAAAGCTCCCAGTTTTTTTTTTTTGGGGATAACCAAAGCTCCCAGTTTTCACCCTTGCATAAAATGAGATAAAATTTGCATTATCCAAAAGGAAAAGTAGTAATTACTTTGTTTATCCTTTATTCTCGTATATTAAGATTTAATTAACAAATTGATCCCTGAATTATATTCAAATTCTCGTTTTGATCCTTCAAATTATTTTCTTCAAAAGTGTATAATAAAAACAAATGAGTAGCTTGTTAAAATGTATAATTTAATCTCATGGTCTCTTCAAAGTTGAACTTGGCACTGGACCTTGTATTTCCTTTTTACAATGCCTTGCCCATTTTATTGACCCGCGGGTGTGGGTGATGCTACTTCAATTTACCAGAATTTATCACACTAATAATGATAGCAAGCGTAGTAGTCAAAGTCTAATGCATAATTCTAACTAAACAAGATTTTTTTTTTCACTTAACAAGAATTTGAAACGTGGTTTTGAATTATTTTATATGAATATCATATATTTAATCTTTGGAACTGATTCACGTTATAATTATGCAAAATTTCAGTACGTTATATATTTGTATATTTAGGGTAATTGCTTGGTCATAATTACGTAACTATCATGGCACCAAAACAGAGACATCCCCTGTTTCGGTTTAAAATACTGGTAATATATATACGACTAGAAAAATCCAAGGTAAGTGAAGATTTTTCTGTGTTTCAACTTTCAAGGCGTTTACAATAAGTATAGAACAATAATATCGGAGCTATACGTATGTAGCATTGTTTCATATAGTTTTTCATGAAAAGCTGATGAACACATGCATTTTTCTGAAGGAGGCTAATTAGTCCTCTGAAATACTGAAAGAGGACCATATATGCTGCAATAGTATACAGTGTGTTTATCTTCAAGCAGTTGGATAAGAGGCTTCCATTGCAATACCGCAGAGACCTTCTTTGGCATCAATACCCCTTTCCATTCTGATGTATCCATCCTCACCCCAACTAGTGCCCCATGAATTCTTCACCAGCCAATATTTGGTCCCATCATCATCTTGTCCATAGCCAACTGCTGTAACCCCATGGTCTAGGTAGGTGGTGCATTCGCCGGTGAAGACACCACTTTGTAGTGTTGGAAGTCAGCCCCACCGGCATCAATGGCAACTGAAACTGGCTGATTGGCCACGGCTTTTAATAGTGCTGACTCACTGTTTGAAGGTACATCCTCGTAACCGGTGATCTTGGCTGCATGGTTGGCTGATTCTTTCTTGTTGCAGCTTCCATCAACTCCTTCGTAGGGATAATTGGTTTCGGTGGTAAGTCCTTTGTTTGAAATGATAAATTCAAATGCATCGTCCATGAGACCACCGTTGCAACCTTGGTCTTCGCCGTTGACATCACAATCAACCAGCTCCTGCTCTGATAGTGAGATCAATGTACCGGTTTTGAGCTTGGTAATCCCTTCCATGGCTGCCACGGCTGAGAATGCCCAGCAACATCCTTTATGATCCGAACCACAAGGAAAAATTAGCATTGTGGAATCATAATTATTTCAATTTCTTTACAAATTCCTATGCTCACCACATTGGCCTTGGTCCTTGATGCCGGTCACAGCTCCTTTCTTTCTCCAATCCATGCTAGATGGAACCGCAGTGATATTTTCATACCCGAAAGAAGATGTTTTGGAAGATGGAACAGCTTTGGAAGGTCGCATTTTATAACCATTTCGCATGGTTTTAAACTCTTCATTGGTCAAGTCTGTGAATTCATTAACACCTAACTTGTACTTCTTGCTGGTATCAGCATTGTGGGATTCGATGTACTCCACGTTTTCCATGAATATTTGGACACGTTTATTCTTCTCTGTTTCATCCTGATAAACTCGACTATAGCTAGACAACCATTGTTCAAACCTATCAGACATAGATGCCTCGGGAACAGACCGGGACGAGGCCTGAGAATCCCAGATTCCCAAAACAAAGAGTAAAGCCAGACATTGAGTTGGCGAATCCATTACAAGTAAGAATCAAGAAATGCTATACTGAAGGAATGCCAAACCATGAGATGGTTTGTGGTTTATATAAAGAGGGTTTCCAAAGGCACCACCTCTCCAATATTTGTAACAGACAAAAAACCAGACACCCTCGTTCTACGTGCCCTGAAAATTGTTCCGACAAAGACTCCATGCTAATTTGATTGCTTAATAAGATTCTATTTCGTGTTAAAGTGAAATTCTTTGATTATATAAGTTGTGGCAATAAGATTTCAACCATCTACAGGTTGCATACATAGCACCGAAGAATATGTCGAGAAACAAGTATTGGAATATTATACTGTCAGCAATAGCGCCTGTTAAAGCCGTATTTTCAAAAGAGTTTTGGCGTAGTTTACATAATTCTTCTATAATTTGTATTTTGATGTAACTATTAGTATTTATGTATGTGACAAAACAAGGGTGGGAAACATACATTCGTCGGTATGCATTCAAATATTAAACAGAAGAACCGATGGGGCAAGTTAGCGTGCTGAGGCTGGCTAATTGTGATTGTGTAAACTCTCCAACCTGGGACAACCAGTCTCATTCAAACTCCCATTTTCGCGTGCTAAGCAAAGAGTAGTCTTTTGTCCTCTTCCACTCTATAATTTAACGTGGGATGCGCATGGCGGGCTTTGGTTTATGAGATTGATTTTTTTTTCAGTGAATATTTTTATACTTTAAAAAAAATAAACGAGAGTAGGTTGATGATTTGATATGATTTTTTTTTTTTTAAAAATTAAAAAAGAAAAACACTTTTTTAATTTTTTTATAGTGTGAAAAGTGTTTTAGGGTAAATATAGTTGCTTGTATCCTATTTATATAACCCCAATTAGATGTTGAAGAAATCTCATTCTGTTTCTACTTTCTTAACAAATAGAGTTTCTCTCTTCATCCCTGCTACATAGATAATATATTTGTAACCCCGATTCCTTTGACTTGTTTGTCCTCTCCCTTTTGAATATTCACTGACAGCTTTGTTTTCCGTTTTCCAACGTCTCAAAACGTATCGTACGTACCCCGAGGAAATTCTGGAATTCAAGACGATCAAGAAGAAAATGTGGATGTTTTCTTGTTAGTCATTTCATCAGCTTAATTATCTCCCTAGAACTTGCGTAATGGAAGCTATCATCATAACAGCCATGGCACTGATCAACAGAAACAACAAGAAAGTCGTTAGCTCTCCTTCTGGTTCGCTCCCACCACACAACCTGGTCTTCTCTCTTTCACTTCTGGCTCGTAAAATATAGGCAATAAAAATAAGTTTTCATCCCCCCACCTTTTCGTGCTTTTGTATGGCTGCTTACTCTTTCAACAACTTTTCATCTGGGAATTGTTACTCTAGTATCTTTGATCCATTTTCGCTTGATTTGGGACCATACAATGGAAGCTCCCGTGGTGGGTCTTTGTCAGTGTCGGTGTCACAGTCCTTGGTTTTGGATAGTGAGAAAGAAGAGCTGGTGAAGGATCCGTTGAAAGTAGGGAAGAAAACGGTTCCGGAAGAAAAGATTACAGCGGCTTTGAAGAGTCACAGCGACGCAGAGAGGAGGAGAAGAGAAAGAATCAATGCTCATCTCGATACGCTCCGCACCCTCTTGCCCTGCAAACAAAAGGTACTAATTGATTTGACAACTCTCAGTACAATTTCATGTTAAATTTTGGTTTATCATCGTCATACGATAAATATAATCAGCTCATGAAAATTTTGTTGGGATGAAAGGGATCTGAGTTAGCCTGTTAGCTTGCTGACTGTATCTTGTTTTGATTATCAAGTTTCCTGAAACTGCAACATTTTGAGAACCTAGAGAGGTTGCTTATGAAGTTATGATAACATCATAATTACAGAGTCGTTATAATATTGGCCAGCTTGAATGCCATTTTTGCATTTATAGGAAAACAAAATGAAGTTGTGAAGCCATGAAACGGAGTATTGATATTTAAATGTGAAATCTCTTATTGCAAATCATGTAATGCTTTTATTTGCTTGCATTAGGAAGGCCAACCCTAAAATTTCAGAATCCTAGAGTCAACTAAGGGATGCTTCAGCTGTAAGGTTTATTTATGTATATCCTAGAGTATCGTTCTGGTTCCAATTTCAGACCTTCTGTTACATTTTCTTATAAATTGTTTCAAACAAAATCAATAACTTGGCTGATAAAATTAATCACAGTAAAGTTGCAATGTAGATAAGAGAGTGATTAATTATCATCCGATAAAAACCCTGGTCTCGTTTAATTTTCAATCTCAATAACTTGGCTGATATATTCGTTAATTTACAATTAATATACTCATTAGATAATCTGTTGACATAGCTTTATACAATATTATTTTTGCTGTCAAAGCTTAGAGTTGGTCGGTTGGACAGTATATATAGATTCAAAAGTGATGATGATGATAATAATCGGATATAGGTGGCACAATGCAACAGCTATTCTTCAATATATCAGCACTGTTTATTTATTTGATATAATATATAATAACTACTGTATGTGACATAAGTACTAGCATATTATATTATTTTTTGAACGTAAGCAAGAATTTGACATCTACATTGCATGTGTATTTTGGCTCCTCTTATTTCTCATATTTATTTCAGTAATTAACTGAAGTAATTAAAATGTACATCGAATTAACTTTCTGGATCAAACGAAGTCTATATTTTTTTAGCTGACAGCAATGTTCCGATTCCTCAATTGTAGATGGATAAAGCGACATTACTTGGTGAAGTGATTAAGCAGTTGAAAGAACTGAAGAATAATGAGACTGAAGCCAGCAAAGGGTTATTTGTTCCGATGGACGACGACGAGGTGAGCGTTGAACCATGTAGTATGGACGAAGCCGATGGGATGGTTTGTTTTAAAGCATCGATCTGTTGTGATTATAGACATCAACTTCTGACTGACCTACGACGAGCTCTCGATGCACTTCCCTTTCAAATTAAATTTGTGAAATCAGAAATATCGACGTTGGGAAGTCGATTGAAGAATGATTTTGTTTTCACGACCGGCTGCAGAAGTAGTAGCATTGTTGATGACGATGGTTATAATACCGATGCATGGCGTTTTATTGCATGTTCAATTCGGCAGGCATTGGATTCTGTCCTGGAGAAGGCTTCTACTTCACTGGAGTTCGCCCCATTGTTGGCATTCCCGAACAAGAGGCGAAGTATCTCTTACATTGATTCCTCAAACTCATCTTCATGTTCCAAAAAGGATTAGCCTTCTTTCGTTTTGTGTTAACGGGTGTCAAAACTGTTATTTCTGCTACATATGTTTGTATGATATGTGCAAATGTTGGTTTGAAATAAATATTAGAACTTTAATAAAACATGTAATTTGATCCTAAAGACTAACATTTTTGATGGATTGTAATAAATAGTATTATTCTATGTATGTAAACCCCTTTCATAATAGTAATTTATGAAAGCTTGAATAAACTAAAATTCAAGTGATTTTTTACACCATATATATATATATTCTATATAAAATTTAACTGAATTGGAAAGTGGAGTCAATTGAAGAATAATTAGTATTTTTTTGTTAACCAGTGTTTTAATTATATATATAGGTGCTTAAATATCGTAGGTTAGTTGTATGGACACATGCAATTATAAAATTTTTAGTTCATATTTTTATTTTTTATGTCATATTTTAGAGATAGATTGAATATACATTTTTTTGAAAATTTTAAATTTCAATATAATTTAGGTATTTTATTTGTATTTTATATTATGTTATAATTTTATAATTATGAGATTTTATAATTTCTCACCTACAAAATTTTAATATAACTTTTAAAAATTTAAGCTTTTAACATAAAATTATACTTCAATCCTTACAGGGCTGATAATAAACTTTTTAATTAAAAACCTATATCATAAGAAATGTTTGTTTTATGGCTTAAGGGCTACTTTTGCTCATGTATTAGACCCAATTTATTAATTTTATCCTTGTGGCTTCTTCACATTAATTTATTACTCAAAGTTGTTTAGGGATATCATCCTAGCCATCGAAGTCCGTTTTGACTAATAGAATAGTTAGTCTTTTGCGTTTGTCAACGTCATCAATTTTCATGTCAGCCAATATTACTGAGGTAGCTTGATGATGACGTGATATTTATTAAAAAATAAATAATAAAATATTTACTATATAAAACGATTAGAAACATCTCCAAAATTTTGACATAATCCCCATTGAAATAAATAATAAAATTTTGGGAATTTTTTTTCTTAGCGTTGTGTTTAGCAAATATTTTAACCTAATCCTTTAATCCACAGATGCAGAAGACTCACAGTTCTGTTAGTCAAAATGGTTAACGAATTTTGAGGGCTAAGATGATTTCCTTAAACAACTTCGAAGATTAAATTGATGAAAAAAATCATAAGAACGAAAATGATAAATTGAATCTATTGCAAGAATAAAAGTATGTCCTTAAATCTTGTTTTATTAAGGGAAAAAATCCTTTAACATGTTAAAGGAATACTGGTATATAGTGTTTTAAGTCTAAAATATATGTTGAGTATATATTTTTATTAAAATTTAAACTTAACCTAATATAGCACGAATCAAGTGGTCTTTGTCGTACTGGTAAAGTAACTATTGTTATTCCTTGAGTACATCCGGTTCGAGCACTAAGAATACCAGAGGTATGAACATTCAATGTCAACAGGTTGAGAGTTATCTTCGAACATATACTATCTTGTACTTACCATAGATTAATAATAATAATAACAAACTTAACCTTATATATTTTTAGCAATGGTGAACTAATTTGGCGTGTTTATTTGACTCGTCCATTTTGAAATTAATAATGTAACATGTTTATGTATATTTTATATACTCAATATGTATAATGATTAGTTCAGTTTCATGCATTAATGAAAATCATGATAAGTATCAGTAATTATGACCCTGATATTAGTTTAGTCTCAATTCGAGTTCTTATGTACATAGAAAATTTTTGTTGAGAGATTCACTCACCAATATCAGGTGTGCGGCCCATCTCGTATCAGATTAGTCTAGGTGAAACCTTGGAACTAGAGGGCAACAAAAAAATAATAAACATTAAGTTTTTTTTTATCTCTGTTAAAAATTTACAAATACATTTAAATATTTAGGTATATTTAAAAATTGAAAGCTTATGTTTACTTTCAAAAAAAATTAAATATATTTTCAAAATTAACATTAAATTTTTAAATATATTTTTAAAATTATATCTAATGTTAATTTTTTTTCAAAAGTTCAGTACCTGTTCAAAATTTAATATTAAGTTTTAAAATTTTTTGAAAGTTTAGGACTAAAACGGACTGTGACTGATAGTTTAGATACTAAATGTGTTAAGTTTATCACGACGTATACTAAAATGAAACAAAAACTAAACGTTAGATATACTTTTTTAAAAAAATAAAAGTTTAAGTAGTAAAACAGACTAAAATTGATAGCTTAAGTAATAAATATGTAGTTTACCCTTACATTTAATTCAACATATTTATAAATTATAGGGTAAACTACGTATTTAATACCTAAACAATTAATTTTGGTCTATTTAAGTACCTAACCTTTTAATTTTTTCAAAACCATACCTAACGTTTAGTTTTCATTTCATTTTAGTACTCACCATTAAAAACTTAATGTGTTTAGTATATAAACTACCAATTTTGGTTCATTTTAGTACCTAAACTTTTAATTTTTTTAAAAAACTTAACATTAAATTTTGAACAGGGTACTAAAATAAAACAAAAACTAAAGTTTAGATTTGGTTTTGAAAAAGTGAAAGTTTAAGTACGAAACGTATTAAAACTGATAGTTTAAGTACTAAAGGAATAGTTTACCCTAAATTATAATAATTAAAAAAGCATACCACGCATGTGCAATTGTACACAATTACACCATAATCTATTTCTCAACAAAAGAAGAAGACGAAGAAGAAAGGAAGTATAAGAAAAAAAAATCTTAGGAAGAACAAGCAGAAATAGAGATTGCAAACCGATCTTAGGAAATCATAGGAAAGTAGTACCGGAGAAAAAAAATCGCAGGCACAAATTGGAATATGAAAAGGAGAAGTGAAAGCATGGCAAAAAGAAGGGAGTGAATCCATACTTCAATTCACGCCACTTCAGAGTTCTGTCGACGAAGGAGTTTGGCACCGTTTATCTTTTTTGAAGCTCAACAAGTTTGGCATCGACGATTCACCTATTCCTATCTCCGGTACTACTCCCTCTCAATCCCTACTCATTTTCATTCTTTAAGAAAGAAATAAACTTCTCACTCTTAATTCTCTAAAAAATATGATTTATTTGGCTAAATTTTTGTTTTTGTCTTCTTAAATTCATTACATTGGACTGGGTTTGATCCAAGATTCTGTTGTTAAAGTTAGCAATTAATGCAAAAAGTTTTCAATTTGGAACCCTTGAGTGTAAATTTGGCGTTTTATGGTCCGAATTCGTTATCGTTTTTCCCTTCAGGTTTCTATGCACCGTGCTCCCACCCTCAAGTATCCAATCATTTAACTCTTCTTGCTGAATCCCTGCCGTCTGATGAATCAGTAGTGCCGCCTATTATTAGGAGTAATCGGAATAGGTTCTCCGTTCCGGGTATTCTTTACAATACAAATACAATGGAAAGTTTCCAGGCTTTGGATAAACAAGGCCTTCTCAAGGCAGAAGCGATGAAGGTAAAACAGTTTGAATTGTCTACTAAGGACGGACGGTAGAGTGTGTTATGCAGCTGGTTTAATTCAATTGAAATCTTGGTTGAGAAGTAATTGTTGTATGTCAATTACTCTTAGATTTGGGAGGATATTCATAGTGGGAAAGCTGTGGAGGATTGTGCGGCATTGTCAAGGTTCCTTCTTATCTCATTTGCAGACCTGAAAAAATGGAACTTTCATTATTGGTTTGCTTTCCCTGCTCTCGCACTTGATCCTCCTGCTACCTTGGTTGATTTGAGGTCAGCTTCTCAGTGGTTCACCTTGGAAGAGGTGCTTAGAATGTGGTTAACACTTGCAAATTGTTGGATTATCGCATCTTTTTGAGTGCTCAAAAGGTTTCTATTTGTTACTTCTGTACATGCAGGCAGAATCCGTGTCAGCAGCATGTAATGAATGGAGGAATTCAAGTGCAACAGCTGGTAGCCTTTCTGCTGTTGCAAGTTTTCTACTTCTTTTTATCTTACTGCATTGAAATTCAAATGTTATTATGTTCCTTTTTTTTTTCTTTATCCATAATTTTATTCCCGTCCCAGCCTGACTTACGAGTCTACTGCAGATGTTCCATTCTTTTTGGTTAGTATTGGTTCTGATTCAAGTGCTGCCGCCAGGCATCTTAAGAATTTGGAAGCTTGTCAGCATGATGGTCAAAAGGTATGTCTACCTTGCGCTTCATGAGTTTTTGGAATATGTTTTTGTTTATGATTCCAGAGGAGAGTTTTAATAAAAATTCTATATGATATATGATGTCAATAGGCTAAAAGTGCAAAATCTTGGACATCTTTTTCTCAAAGTTTTCACATGTGTTATTGGCAGTTACTATTTGCACTTTATGACCCATGTCATCTACCGAACAATCCTGGCTGGCCTCTCCGCAACTTCCTTGCACTTATTTCTTCCTGATGGAATCTGAAAACTGTTCGCTTTTTGTGCTATAGAGAGAATCGAGGTTTTGCTGATTTGAATTTGTCACTTGTTGGTGAAGCCTTGGTTTCGGTTCAACCAGGTAGAGTGGCACAAATTTTGGGTAACAGCTTATTTTTGGGATCATTTTTAGCTGTTCTAATAATACGAATTCATTCTACACTATCTTTCTTGACCTACAATGTCTCTTTAGGAGGGAGAGAAAGACAATGTGTGTCGAATGCTGTAGGATGGGAATTCAACAAGGGGAGAAAAATACTGAGGTGTATTAACCTTGCTAAATCTATGGATCCAACTAGGTAATTTGTTTTCTGTTTCTTTTTTGATATTGTCACCTTTTAGGCTTTTTAGTAAATTATCTGCCATTGAGGCATTGGCTTAATGGGAAGGTTGAGTATCTGGAAACCTTGACATCCTAGGTTCAAGTCCTACCATGCTTAAATACTATGGGTTCAGTTCCAAATTTATTATAGAGTTTAAGTCCCACCATCTGTGGGCATTGTCCAGATTTATTCTGGTTTAGGTATGAATATATGTTCCTATCATCAATCCAATTGTACATTTTCATGATTGATTCCTGTTGTAGTTATTACTTGTAATTCAAAAGGAAAAACAGTACTTGTTTTACCAAAAGCATTTTGAGATATTTCCCACTGTTTTCCCAAAGGCTAGCCA